TTCTGCAGTACCAGGAATTGAACTCAGAACCTTGTGCTTGCCAGGCAGGCACTTATACCACTGAGCTATATCCCTGGCTACATCATTAATTTAAGTGTGTCAAAGAATCCTAAAGCCGAAAAGTTTGGAAAAGCACTGATGTAGGCAAGTTTCACATATCTGGAAAAACTCATGCATGTGGTACCTATTCCCCCAAATATAGGGCAAGTGTTATTTAAGTGTGTGGCAGCATATATATGTTGTATTAGTCATGTATGTTGATTCAACTATCTGGTATTTTTCCATTAATTACCTTCTAGGATCACTTACGAAGCCTCTAACTTGTTCTTATGGTGTTAGCAGCACTGCACAGGCACTTATTCCATGGTTCTATTAGCTGGGTGATAAAGGGAGAGGACAGGCTGACTACCTGCTAAGCGCAAGGTTCTGGAGTATTTCATACATATATTATCTCTTAGGGATAACTGTCAAGCAGTAAACATTAACCCACGTCTGGGGCTAGCATTATCTAACTAGTATAGGAAGTGAAGGGGAAAAGATATGAACCCACGTGCAACTACAAAACCCCAGTAAGATATGGGCCAGGAGGCTGACAGGAGAAAACTCACTGCAGACAACATATGATCTTGAGCCCTATGGACCGCCTCCACCATAGGCACCAAAAAAGCAGAATGAGGGTTTATGATTGGATGTGAGTGAAAAGACACACAAAATGACAGCAAAGAAAGTGAAAATTAGACTAGAAATGTATGGGGCAGCAGAATAATGTTCCTTCCTCTCTTTACTCAAATCCTCCATTGCTGCTAATGCCACAGGACACCACCACACACCACAGCGCTAAGCTGTCATCACTACCAACAGAGCTCAGCTCATGCAGGATAACCTTCGTCTTCTCCCACTGCGCCCTGCCACTGGTTCCTCGCCATCATCCTGGGGCCAACAAAAATTGGCTATAAGAGCTTTGGGAAGAAAAGGGTGATAGAATACCTTTCTGGCAGCATGATCACCTGTCAACAAGAGGAAAATCTTGATCTGCCCTTGTCTGGATTAGTCCAGCAGTACAGTGCTATCAAAAAGACCAGCATGCCAAGGCAGCTACGTGCCAGAGTTTAAAAATACTACATTTAGGTTTCAAAATAATTTAAGGCAAATTTCATTGCCTTACTGTGTTAGGAATTTTACACTTATACTATAACTACCTGTTATGCTTCTATCTAGATTAGTCATGGAGAACCTTTTAGAAATGAGGCTCAAACCACAACCCAAAACCTCTTATTCACTGCAAAGTGCCAAAACTTCTATTAAGCCTAAATACTAAAGTTTTAGTTTAGAAAAAACTCACACATTAACACATTTGTCTTAAAAGAGAAACAAATAATACATGTACCATATAACACCCCTAATCTAGGTGTTTCCTCAATGCCTCACATGCTCACAGATGGGGCTTTGGGAGGTGACGGCATCATGGGAGTGTGGTACTGCATTAGTCCACAGATGGGCTCATAGCTGGGTGTGATGTAGGGATGTGAAACCTCGTGGGAGGTGGTGGTCACTGTGGGTGAGGCCAGGAGGGTATATATCCTTCATCTCTTGATCTCCCTTCTGCTTCCTGTGCTACCATGTCATGAGCAAGCCTCCTCCATCATGCCCCTCTGCCATGCCCCTCTGTCTTGGAGCCAGCCTACTATGGACTAAAACCTCCACAAAAATATGAACTAAAATAAATCTTTCCTCTTCTAACTTGAAACTGTCGGGTATTTTGTGTCAGCCACACGAAAGTAAGACATTACCTAGAAATTCCCCTTTTTAGGTACTGCATTTTCCAAAAAGTTAAATAAATAAATAGCCAGCTAGCTATTTACATAAAGGAACATTTTGAGCCAGTTAAGACTCTGAAGATTACACAACTTTCATAAAGGTATACAAAAGTCTGTATGGGGCTAGGAAAATAGCTGAGTGGTAGAGCACTTGACTAACATGTTTGTGGCCCTGGGTAAGATCCCCACAATGGAAGGAAGGAAGGAAGGAAGGAAGGAAGGAAGGAAGGAAGGAAGGAAGGAAGGAGAAGGGAGGTAAGAGGAGGGAGGAAGAAGAGAGGAAGGAGGGGAAAGGGAAGGGAAGGAGGAGGCACAGATGGAGAGAGGAGGGGAAAGAAGGGAAGGGAAGGGGCAGGAGAGAGGGACGAAAAAATTCCCAAAAAAGTCTTATCAATTTACCATTAATGGTTACTTTTAGCTGCTTCTAAGTGTATTTTAATGTTTAAGATGACTATATTTCCCCCTTACTTAGAAAACATTGTCTGCCACCTATCTCATTGTCCTTTCTAAAACCTTTTCAGAAATTTTATATATATATTCCTTTCATGAAACAACTGAGTTACATGATGTTACAGTATAGGTTCTCCTATATCCTGAGTCTTTACTGATCT